TGTCACTGGTGGTGTCCGCCCTTTTCCGCTGTTTCTATTCATTTGTCTCCCAGACCTGTCACTGGTGTCCGCCCTTTTCCGCTGGCCATCTACATGGCGCTATTCATTTGTCTCCCAGGTCTGTCACTGCCAGTGTCCGCCCTTTTTATTCATCTCCCATGCTGGTGTCCGCCCTTGTCCGTTGGCCATGCAGCATTTCTGTTCATGTGTCTCCCAGGCCTGTCACTGTGGTGTCCGCTCTTTTCCGCTGGCCATGTAGCATTTCTATTCATTTGTCTCCCAGGTCTGTCAATGGTGGTGCCACGTAGCATTTCTATTCATTTGTCTTTCAGGTCTGTCACTGGTGGTGTCCGCCCTTGTCCGTTGGCCATGAAGCATTTCTATTCATTTGTTTCCCAGGTCCGTTACTGCTGCTGTCCGCCCTCATCCGTTGGCCATGTAGCATTTCTGTTCATTTGTCTCCCGGGTTTGCCACTGCTGGTGTCCGCCCTTTTCCGCAGGCAATGCAGCATCTCTTTTCATTTATCTCCCAGGTCTGTCACTGCTGGTGTCCGCCCTTTTCGTCGGCCATGCAGCATTTCTGTCACTGTTGGTGTCCGCCCTTTTCTGCTGGCGATGCAACATTTCTATTCATCTGTTTTCCAGGTCTGTCACTGCTGGTGTCCGCCCTTTTCCGCTCGCCATGCAGCATTTCATTGCTGGCGCAATCAGTGTCCACGATTTTTCGGTACACCGTTTACACCGTCTACACCGTTTACACCGTCTACACTGTTTACACCGTTTACGCCGTCTACACCGTTTACACCGTCTACACCGTTTACAGTTTACACCGTTTACACCGTCTACACTGTTTACACCGTCTACACCGTCTACACCGTTTACACCATGTACACCGTTTACACCGTTTACACCGTCTACACCGTTTACACCGTTTACACCGTCTACACCGTTTACACCGTCTGCAACGTTTACACCGTTTACCCCGTTTACACCGTCTACACCGTTTACACCATCTACACCGTTTACACCGTTTAGACCGTCTACACCGTTCACACCGTTTACACCGTCTACACCGTTTACACCGTCTACACCGTTTACACCGTTTACACCGTCTACACCGTCTACACCGTTTACACCGTCTACACGGTAATCAGCATAACCAGCGTAAGCAGCGTAACCAGTGTAACCAGCGTAATCGGCGTAACCGGCGTAATCGGTGTAACCAGCGTAACCAGCGTAACCAGCGTAATCGGCCCAACCGGCGTAACCAGCGTATCCAGCGTAACCAGCGTAACCAGCGTAACCAGCGTAATCGGCGTAACCGGCGTAATCGGCGTAATCAGCCTAACCAGCGTAACCAGGGTAACCAACGTAATCGGCGTAATCAGCGTAATCAGCGTAATCGGCGTAACCAGCGTAACCAGCGTAACCAGCGTAACCAGCGTAATCGGCGTAACCGGCGAAATCGGCGTAATCATCGAAACCAGCGTAACCAGTGTAACCAGCGTAATCGGCGTAATCAGCGTAACCAGCGTAACCAGCGTAACCAGCGTAATCGGCGTAGCCAGCGTAAGCAGCGTAATCAGCGTAACCAGCGTAACCAGCGTAATCGGCGTAACCAGCGTAATCAGCGTAACCAGCGTAACCAGCGTCATCAGCGCAGCTAGCCACCGCCAGCGTACCAGCGTACCAGCGTGCAATCACTCGCGGACACGCTTTGCCACGTCGCTCCAGCATTTCTGTTCAGTTGTTTCCCGGGTCTGTTACTAGCGCTGCCGCCCTTTTCCGCTGGCCATGTAGCATTTCTATTCATTTGTCTCCCATGTGATTTCTTTCTTTTTGTCTTTCAGGTTTGGTGCCTGCACTGCTGTTTTCTGCCCTGTCCGCTGGAACAGGTTGAAAGGGGTGCGTGACTGTCTCCGGGATTGCATTCCTGCCGCACTGTGTAACTCTCTCAGCTTTGTTTTCCTTTTCGGGCAAGCGTTGGATGAATGACCGGATTGGATTCCGGCGTGGCAGCGATCTCTCTGTTATACGTCAGGCACCAAAAAGCAATTTCATGTCACATCCTTCGTTCCTCATGCTTCTATTTCTTGTCCTCACGTGGTCAGCTCCCCGCTGATTGAGCAGCATGACCAGCATCATGTTCGCACTTGAAGAATAATTCCCCAAAAGGTTTAGTGTTAGGGCTTCTCAATTCTTTCTTAAGATGTGTCCGCCCGCTCTGTACTGCTGTGTCCGTCTCTGCCTTGCAATCCTTTACATTTGTCTCCCAGCTCTGGACGTCGCAAGGTCTAGTTTCGATTTTGAAAAACACAAACAGTTTGGGGTCTACGGTGGTGTAATTCTCCTTGCGACAGGCTCTTGGCTCACATCCTTTGATGTAGCGTACTTGACGCATCAATTCAAACACGTACAAAGTAACAAACACTTCGGAAGCGGCCTTCCCACGTCATTATCCTCAGAACAGGCTTGATGGGCGGTGGAGGGTTGTCAGGCTGCAGGAAACCGCCCGCGCCCGGAATTGCTAAAGGCCAAGGGCATGTAACCATCCACCAGGAAAGTTATCATAAATACATCCATATGGTCATTACAGGAACCGAAAGACTATACTCAACACTCAACACAAGTTCGATTAGGCAGACGTGTGGCATGCCACCCGTTGTTTCACTTGTCGGTTGCTGCACCCACCAACTACACCGACGCAGCCAATGATGTATTATCACACACTGTCCCCAAGCGCACTTGATTGGACCCAACGAAGGCCATGATGATGCCACCATTTTATATACGATATTTTTATGTCGGGCACGCCAGCCATAGATACAAGGAACCAAAATACATTTATAAAGCAAAAACAAAGCAAAAAAACAAAAGGTAAAGCAGACAAAAAAACAAAAAAAAGTAGCTGTGCGTATTTGTTTTTTTCACATTTGTTCGCTTTATTTTCGCATTTTTTCGCTTTATTTTCGCATTTGTTTCGCTTTTTTTTCGCTTTTTTCCTAGGAGGGTACAGCAAATATTGCTGACGGGTAAAAATTCTCATAAGTGCAGAAGTGGTACCAGGAAAAAAAACAAAAAATTAGCACAACAAATGCAACAACAAAGCAAATTGCGCTGCTTTTGCATTTTCATTTGCTTTTGTTTTGCATTTGTCTTTTTTTCACAAAAATATTTGATGGTTGGTCATGTATGGCTGCCACTGCCCAACACAACGATATTTCGTTGCATCAACAAAGAGACAGTTTCATCCAGGCCTGTGTTGAATTTTCAAACTTTCAGCCCTTTGTGGTCCCTTCCACGAGACCTCGAAATACCTCCCGGTAGCAAGAGCTGCTAGCGTTTGCCAAGCAATGCTGACGTGCAGCGCCCTGGACAAAAACATATCACCACCTTCGTTGCTGCTGTGGTTAATAGGTGCGCAACTATCAAATTTGCTCTATGGAGTCAAAACATACCTCCTGTGCATTCGAAAACAAGCAAAACGGCAGATGTTACTATATACCAATCACTACTAATGACCAGATTTCATGGTGAAGTTTCAGACTACCACACCGCATTTTGCATCTTTCCGAACCTTGTGGCGAGCAGAAAGCAATCTTCGCAACAATTTGTCTAACTATTCCGAGTGTGCTCAGCCACCCCCTTTCACCGATGAATGGGTGAGGGCAGAATTCCTGCAGCACTCGCCCCTGTAGCTTCAAACAGAACCAAAAGACCAAGAGTACGGGGGGGACTGGTCTCATGAGCAACTAGTTTGATGCAAGTATTTGCCCATGCTTTCACCCCCTAAGCGGAGTTTTCTATTTCCTTCGCTTCAGATGCTCATTCCTTTCTGGATCTTGATGCCTTTCTGTTTGTGGAGGTTCAATCAAGGAGATACTTATGTCGGAAATGTGCCCCGTGCAGATGTCGCCGCAGTATGCCACCCGACAGCAGCATTGATATGTCCTATCTTCCCCAAATGGTATGCACCTCCACTTTGGTTGCACAGGTGCAGTTGCTGCCACGGACCCTTTAAACAGTGGAGCCAACAAGACCTTTGAAATGTTCAAGGCAGCTACCTAAAGCCAGTCGCAGTCACAGTGTTCTGTCTCTCAGAAACGTTCTGCCACGGTATAAAGTTTGAAGGCGCGCACTCGAGAGCCACTGCTGCCATGGTACCGTGGCAAGACCCGATTCTTGGCTACAATCACGGCTTTGCGTTCATTCTAAGTTTCCATTGGCTTCCACACAGGCTATGTTGTGGGAAATATTCGTGACTGCAGTGTCCTTTCCTTAGCTTGGTCTGTGTGGCAGAGAAATGCGACATGGATAGAAATGGTCTAGTTATATAATGGCAAAAGCCGTGTGTGCCGCTGATTAGTGCGGGCCAGCTGTGGGAGGAGGGGCTGCAGGGGGCGTGCAGGCTGCTTTGGACACTCTTAGGCTCTGTGCATGGAAGCGGGCGGAAGTTTTTGCACAAGGGCCGCAGTTGATAACAAGGGTGCTACCACTGCTTTGTCTAGGCAACTGCGGGGATCAACTGCCTCCCAAGACGCTGTCCTACACAAATGCATTGGCTGCGTTCCTATTAATTATTATCCTCCTGTCATTCTTCCCCCCTAACACTGGAGCGGACACATAGGTGCCCACTGTGGATGAGACGATGCCTGTTTCACCATATGGACCATGCTGTTGTTTCGGTATCGCGAAAGTTCCCATGGACGTGTCAGTTTGACCAACAAACTGCGAGCAAACCCGGCTTGCACAAACCGGAGGCTGTTAAGCAGAAGACTCTTGCAACAGTTGAGCAAGGATGTGAGGCAGTGTGACATATGTGTCAGCCTGTCTTGTTGAAGTTGCTGGCTGTATTTCAAGCGTTGATAGTGCGTGAGATGCGAGCTCGAATCCAGACAAAGGCTTCGAGGCTTCTCAGACGACACAATATAGCGGCTGTGGTGGTTTCTTCTGACGTTTGGAACTCTCTTGAGTTTCAGTAGTAATATGTTTCCGAGTGCAGTTCTCTCCATCCCCAGATGCTTTTTGTAGAATGACTCTGTTCTCAGAATGGCCGTGCCAACAAATAGTGCACAAAAGGCCTTTGCAGTTCGAGCTAAAAGTCCGCATGGTAGCGGAGCGGTGATCCTCCACTCGACACGTTTGGAGGTGAGCTCCAGCGGATTAGAGGGCAGGACCCAACCCTATTGCTCGCGCCCCGCCTTTCGCGTTCGCCTGTGCGGAGCCACCATAAACTAGTGTGGCAATCAGTGCTGGTGGCTACCACGCGTGGCTGACCGAGATCCTCTCCCATTTGATCCTTGCCCCCATCCTTGTGCCCAAGCCGCTTCTTCAGCAGGAGCCGGTTCTTCTGATGGTGTATCAGGCATCTTGTCCAAGGATCGTGCACGACTCATCCCAAGGCCAAGCAGTTTTGCACCGGCTGATTATCGAGAGCAAGAGGTCGTGCAATGGAAGGACTGGTATTGGACTCTTCAACAATATTTGGTGGTTGTTGTCCGCGAGCTTCAGCAGGAAATTGAACAGATAGAGTCCAATTTGGCCAATGAAGTTGATTGGGACCTCATGGGCAAGGCTGAGCAGGATCGAAGTCGCTTCTTATACAGTTTGTTGGGAAGCCTCATCCAAGGACGCCTGGTGGGAGTGGTTCAGAATGTGGAGAACTTCAACGGCTACGAAGCTCTCAGACAGTTGCTTTCAAACTGTCAGCCCCAGGCGAGGAACCGCACCATGAGCTTGCTGCAGGTGATAATGGCCTATCCCTCGTTCAACATGAAGGGATCATTGCTGCCACAGATCTTGAAACTTGAGGAACACTTCATCCAATATGAACGTTTGAGTGGTAGCAAGCTGCCAGCAGATATGAAAGCGGTTCTACTTCGAGCAGTTGGTGGTCGGATGAAAGTTCATTTGAACCTGACACTCAATGAAGGCAGCTCGTATCAAAAGATCAGGGAAGCCATTCTTGCCTTTGACACCGCCGCAACAAAGTGGAATGAGTCAGCTGCGATTTCATGTACAACTTCGAGCCCAATGACGCAGGCAGTTGGCAATGGAGGCGTGATGCCTATGGAGGTGGACCGCCTGCAGAAAGGCGATGGCAAAAAGGAGAAGGCGAAGGAAAGGAAAGGGCAAATCTAAAGAGGACAAAGGAAAGGAAAGTCGAAGACTACGAAAGGCAATCCCAAGGAGGGCAAGGGGAAGGGCAAAGAATCGAAACTAGGCAAAGGCAAAGGAGTTGGAGGTGATGTATGGTGGACCTGCGGAAAGATGGGGACATCATTCAAAAGATTGTTGGCGTGTGCGCCAGATCGAAGCACCCCCAGCAGCCAGCGTTTCAAGTTCAGGGAACACTACATCGCCCTCTACCACGGCTACCAATTTGACTGGTGGTGGAGATTCACAAGGGACTGCGTTGAAGACAGTTCGACAAGTGTCACAGCCGCTGATCTTTGATCTTCGTGAGGAAACCTATGAAGACAGTGGCTCAATTCGAGTTTTGACAACACTGCCTGAAGCTCAGATGGCAGTGGAGGGTGTGGAATACAGATGATGAGTATGAAGATGGGGCCATGGTGATCAACGGCGTGCGAGAAGGAGATGAGCTTGAGAGTGCCTCAGTCATGGAGGAGGAGAAGGCACGGCTGTTCCCATCATTGTTGATTTGATTCCTTACCTACAGGATGCACAAGGCTCGCCGATCACAACCTATGGTCACAAGGATGTGGATATCAACTTGACAAGTCAAGATGGGAGGAGGGTGATTCTGAAGGGGAGGGTCACCTTTTGCGATGTGGTGAAGCAGCCAATACTGTCCTCTGGCCGGCTGATGAGAGCCGGATGGTCCATAGATGGCATGGAGGAATGCTTGAAGAATGGAGGTGTTGAGGTGCCGCTGAACTATCAGAATCAGAGCTTGGTTGTCCAAGGGTCAGTGAGAGTGATTCTTGAGCCGGGCAAGGTTCGCATGTTGGCGGTGAAGTTGGGCAATGAGCTCACGAAGACAGCTGAAGAAGGTTTTAGAAGATGGATGGGTTTTGGCTTGGAGTTCATCACAGCCACAGGTATCAGAGTCCCCAGTTCATTCCAGAGCTCAGGCATCAGAGTGAGGTGATGCAGATCGACGCTGGTGAGGAGCGGCGGCAGTGCACAATGAGAGCTGGTGGAGATGGCAGAGCCTTTGATGAAGCTCCTGGATCAAGAAGAGGAAATAGAGGAGCTACAAGGTCAAGAAGGCAAAGTGCTCACCTTTGTGGCGGACGAAGGCAATGAGCCAGAGAATTTCGGGTTTAAGCTGGAGGAGGATCATCGGTTGCCAACACCGGGGCCACACCCCAACACCGATGAAGATTTTGAAGAGTTTGATGGCGCAGAAATTCTGGCAGGTCGAGAGGACGATGGTGGAATCAATCTGGATGATCAAAGAGTTCACCATGAAGTCGGCGTCGCGCTAACAGGTTCGATCACAGTCAATGGCGTCGAGCTGACAGCAGAGAGCCCACTGAGAAACCTCAGGGCGGCCTGTTCGTTCTACAAGATCGGGCGAGGCGGTGGTGAACAAAGTGCTATGGAAGGCTCATTGACCGTCAGACGAGTTGGAGTTTGTTGCTCGCTCGAGACCTTGCTGCGCGAGGACGGGCCTTCGATGAGCGAGTGCCAACAGAGCAAGCAATGGTGCAGGTCCCAACGGAAGAAGAGAAGAGACGACGCCTGCTCACGCATTTGCCATATGCAGGCTGGTGTGCATCTTGTGTGAAGCACCGTGCCAAGCAGGACCAACGCAGGCGTACTGGTCGAGCACACGAGCAGGGAGTTCCAACAATCTCCTTTCATTTGTGCAAAGTGAGAGCCAGTGGATCGGGAGCCCGTGGAGAAGTAGAAGATGATGAGGCTTAAGCTGGAGTCGCAGAAGAGGGAGGAGCATTGCTGATGGTAGCAGTTTGTTCCGAGACAGGCTACCTCATGGCCCTTCCATTGAAGTCCAAGAATCAAATGAGTTTGATTACTCATGAGCTGATGGCCTTCACTCAGGTTCTTGCTATTCAGACGCCGACTTCCAGGCAGATCTTACGGTTGTTAGTTGCTGCAAGGAGCGCTATGACTCAGCAGGCAACTGCTGAGTCGAGAACGCCGTCCAGAGAATCAGAAGCCCAGCTGCCACGCTGATGGAAGATCTAGCAGGCCGCATCGAGCTTCGATTCAGCAGCCAACATCCATTCTGGACTTGGGCAGCAGGCACAGTGCATGGTTGCTCAACAAGTTCCAGACTGGTTCATTGTGGATGGCGACAGGGTTTTCTTGAGCAGATCATTACGACGAGTTGCAAATTTGCACAGGGAGTATCTCTCATGGTTTCAGGCCTTCACTGCTTACTCCTGGGAATAGCAACAGAACTTTGGCGGACGGATAGTTCCTTCGAAGAGATTGGCTTCTATGGTGGGTGCTCAACAAAAGGTGCCATTTGTGGAGATTGCCATCGACGACCAGGACGCAAGAGATGTGATTGCCTTTGGTCGCTCATGTGCTGGCAAGTTGGAGGAGACCTGTGATTTGACACAGGAGGAGAAACCCAATGAAGAAGCCAAGAAGGATCAAACAAGCAGTGGAGAGAAGCCCAGGCCGATGACGGAGGAGGACCAACTGAGAGAAGACATATGAAGAAGGTCCAACTCCGGAGTTGATTCCTGTACAACCTGATCCCAATACTGAAGGAGTGCAGGTAGCGCCCAGCCATGCGTCGGAAGAACAGATCAAGATTGGTCCAAATACTTACCCGTTTACAAAGCTTCAATGCCTTTCCATGGGGGTATCAAACCAACTCTGGAAGAAGAGCATAGGCATTACCAGCAGCACAGACAGGCATTCCTAGAGAACATGTAACGCTGAAGTTTAGAGATGAGGATGCAGAAGCAGTAATGGCAAAAGCACTTGAAGGAGGACGTGATTTAGAAAAGGAAGAACCCCATTGTTCCCAGAAGCAATGGAGATTCCAGCCCCGATGGAAATCCCTGTTGAAGCAATGAAAAGAGATGGAGGTGAAAGAAAGCCAAGTGGAGAAGAGACACCAAGTAAGAAACAGAAAGTTCTCTTTACAGATGAGAAAACGCACGAGAAGGTGAACGCATTTCCCTCTACATGATTGCTAGCAGGACAGCCAAATCCAATTACTTCTATCCTATCTTCATTGAGATCACCGTCGGCGCCATCAAGACCAAGAGAAGCGTTTGAATTGCTTGAAGAGGAAAGGCCAATGAAGAAACTGAGGCCATCAGATGATTCAAACAAGAAGGCCAAGATCAACGTGGTGAAAGTTGGAGGAGAAGATCTCTACCATGTGGACGAAGAGTTATCCCCAGTTGTAGAAGAAGTTGATGAAGAAGATTGGGGTGATGAAGAAAGTGAACTAGATTTGGAGGAAATCAATGGACCTGAATTTTTGTGGCGTGATGGAGAACACGAACCTGAAGGAGATCCAGAGGACCATGAAGATGCAAGTGCTGGAGAAACCAGAAGGAAGCACAAGAGGAATCAGTTACTTGACAGCGTGCAATGTGCATGACTGGAGGAAGAAGCCATATGAACTTGGAGATTGCGTTTCAGTCAAGAGGTGGATGCGAAGATCAAGGCTAGTTGCAAGAGAATTTGCTTTCGCTGAAGGAAGAGAGAAAACATTTTCCCGCCAGCGACTTCAGGACATGTACTGAAGCTTCTACCCACAATACTCTTGGAAGGGACAAGTGACGAAGATGAGGCAAGAGAGGGAGAAGGAGCATTTTCGCAGGCGCTAGGATGCCTTGATGTGAAAGACGCTTTTCTACAAGTTCCACACGAGAAGCCATTGAAAGTAAACTTGAGAGGAGAGGAATTCTTGGCGAAGAGGAATTTACCTGGACAAAGAGTTGGGGCAAAAGCATGGTTTGACTTTTTCATAGAGTACCTCACAGAGGAATTCAACTACAAGTTCAGTGCTGAGTGTCCGTGCCTAGGAAGAAATGAGAAGGGTATCATTTTGACCCATGTGGATGACGTAATTTCCACACCCCAGGAGACTCAAAGTACATCAATGAAATCAAGGTTTGAGAGGATTGGAGATGAGTTCAATTTCCTTTGGGTTGGCGGGCTATGGATCCAACCAGACAACTACTGCCAGCAAATGTTGAAAGCCTATGAAGAGCAGATTGGATTGGTGAAACTTCAACAACTACCAGCAGACGACTCAATCCAGATGGAAGACAAACCAGAAGCCTTGCATGAGCGACAGAAGATTAGTGTCAAATCCTACAGCTATGTCACTTCATCACTTGAAGAAGGCTATGGAGTATTCTCTAGTGTTTGAATTCCCACAAGCAGGAGAAGGTGCTTGGAAGCATTCTCAGATTCAGACTGGAGTGGAAACAAAAGCCACAGAAAGTCAACGTCAGGAGGGTTAAATGCATTGAACGGTTGTTCATTGTTCAACAGATTCAACAGCAGCAGAACACAGAAGATCGTTAGCTTATCTTCGTGTGAAGCAGACTACACGCAATAGTTTCCTCAGCGTCAGATGGAATCTATGCCAGAGCAGTTCTTGAATTTGCTCTTGACACAAAGGTGGACCATTGCATCTTCTCAGATTCATCAAGTGCGCGCCAACTTGCGACAAAGAGGGGAGTTGGAAAAGTGAGACACTTAGATGGAAAGTTGCTTTGGATTCATATCAAAAAAGACTTCAAGATGGTACAAGTACCAACAGATAGCAACATGGCAGACATCAACACAAAGCCACTTGGAGGACAAAGATTCAGATATTTGATGAACCTCATTGGTTACTGGCACAGTGATGAACAAATCAGAGTGGGAGAGTATCAGAGAAGGGTGTGTGAAGAGAAGAAGAATTTTGCAGGGAAGGCCACTAAGATTGCAAAAAAGATTGTCAGTGGTCACAGAAGCATTCCTGAAAGGAGACAACATCCAATGTGAGATGGGCGCGGTGAAGAAATCCAATGAAGAATTGAAAGTTTGGATTGTCATGATCATCGTGTTCAATATTCAGTGATCTATGTAATCTTCAAGGCTTTCAAGCACTTCGAGACCAGGTATGATCAACAAGCACGACAAATTACATGGAGACTCTAGTCAAGAGAGTTGAAAAGCGAATTGATGTTATTGAACTGAGAGTTGCAATCTGGAGAGAGGAAGAGCTTGAAGGTAAAATCGATAACTCTACACAACTATGCCAGGAGAATTCACAATGGATTGATTCTGAATGGAGGTTTTGTGGTAAGACCAGCCCCAGATTTACAATCCATAATCACTTATGACATGTTGGGAGATGAATGCAGAACATTACTTAGCCAGAAGGAGCCTGGAAGACATGCAGGCAACAGAAGGACTGTACTATGGACACCAGGTAATGTTGCAAGCAGCTATGGATGGAGCAAATCCAACAGAAAGACCACTATACAAAAGGTTCAAGCCCGGAAACAGGGAACTTTCAATCAGACAAGAATATGAAGTAGAACGAGCAAACCAAATGTGTGGTCCACTTGAAGCAAAATTGCAGTAACTTGTAAAGAGACACTACAACTTGCTGGATAGAGGACAACCAGAGTTAGTGGACTTGGTTGAGAAAGAATTGGACACATATCGAGAATTGTTAGGTATACCACATGCCAGCAATTTCTAGGAACCCAGTTCCTGGAAGAAATGAGTAAAGCTGGCAGAGAAATAGAAACAAACATGGAATGGACAAAAAATCGTGGCAAAGTGAGCTCAAAGAAACATTTTGGCGTCTCACTATGCCAGGAAGGAGTGCGAACCATTTTGCACATAGATCACAGTACAGTTGCATGACATATCTTGCACCATAGAGTTGCCATCTTGACTCCAACAGGGTGCTGCAATGAGGATCCGAAATGTATCGTAGATATCTGTAGATCTTGGCATGTTCGGGAACGGACAAGGGAATAGTCAGCAGAGCTGTGGAGCAGACAGGTAGCCGGCCGGAGGCAACGGTTGCTAGGCGCTACACCCGGTATCCTTTGATTCGCCTCGCTCCTCCCAGGCAATGCTGGCAAGGCTGAGGCTCATGTGAATTGATGTCGATGCGACCAAAATCTTCAAACACTGCTTTGGCTGATTCGTCCAATCTTCCTTGTTCTGCAGGCCAGACAAGGAGGTGTATGACGTGCCTGGAATGTTGCCAATTTCTTTAGCCGATTTTGCTCTGGGATGGGCACGCAAATGATGATTTTCCTCGTGCCTGTTCGTTCATCACAGCTTTGAAGCGCTGCCCTCTGTAGTGGAGTTTCTGGTTTTGAGCCGTTGGATCTGGCAGTTTTTCCGCCGAAATGCACTTAGCGCATTTCGCCGGTTGCGGCAAAAAAGGCGACGGCTTGAAGCAGACTCCCTGTGTGGCACACTGCAAGAGGAGTTTTTAACTTGCCTTCAGGGTAGCATGCGGCAAATCTATGGCAGTTGTTCAAGAGGCATTCGCGGCGCAACTAGAACCAAACCAGCAAGTGATTTCTACAACATAAGCATTTTGCATTGCAAGTTAATTGCATTTTTTGCATTTAACTCTAGGAATCGACTTTCATGACTTTGCCCATGTAGACGGGCCCATGGGGCTGCTAAGCCGGTCCAGCCCAAAAGATGCACAGGAGCGATTTGCGCAGTTGTGAGGCCTTTCTGCTGTGGCCATGACTGTCCGCTCAGGCAGTTTCTCCAAAGAAGGTTGATCTCGAATCCGGTGATTTTGCGTGTGCTATGACTGGTGATGCAGGTTGCCCGCTGATTGAAAGCTGCTTGCTTTGCATTGCCAACCGTGAAACTGGTTGGATTGCTTGAGGCCGAGGCGTGACTGAGGAAGCTGTCGAACTCCAAGAGCCTGAACAAAATGTAGGTGGGAAGATCCGCGGGTGGAGACCAATCAACGCGCCCTGTCAGTTCCTACATCCCATCCGGAAGTGACAAAACACATCTTCAAAACGGGTCAAATTGTTCTGGCGCCCGCGTCTACATGTGCACATGCTCCACACAGATGTGCATGACTTCTACTTTTCTACTAGCATTGTCAATTGGCATGTGCTTTCAGATTTGAGTTGATGCTCAGACAATTTGCACCCTAGACTGCCTAGACTTGAAGTCACGATTCTAGTAGACCAACACCTACTGCTTGTTGCCAGAGACATTTATTGTATATATATATAATTTGTTCCGCCTCGTGCTTTCCTCCGTTGGAACGAGTTTGGCCTTGCAAAGCTCAAGGTGGTGAAGGAGATGCTGCCAAAGGAACTGTTGTGAGCAAAAGGCATCTTGTCTACATAACTGAACTCAACAGTCCTATGCATTCGCAAATCAACACGGCTACCTTTGCTGGGAGTCAATTGAGGAACCCCTCATATGATGCTTAGGAAGGTCTCTACTTTTATTGCTATTGCATGGGATTGAATGGCTTTAAGACCTGCTGTTACCACCAAGGAAGGCCGTGCTCAGGATGCCTACGCTGTTTGGAAAGGCAGAGGCGAGACCAAGGCTTACGCAATAGGTCCAGATGGGACATGACTTGGACTCCTAGAATGAGACTGAGCGTTGGCGGCTCTCTTTGGGATTGATTTGTTTGTTGCGCACTGGTCTGTTCAGTGCTTCGCTGTGATTCTTCCCTTGCAACTATAGTGGGTGCAGCAGCTGGGCAGGATGGCCCAGAAGAAATGAAGGAGCCCATGGAAAGAATGCGATGGTGGGAGCTTACGTTTTCGATTAGAGGCTTTGAGAATGTTACAGTGGACACGCTGAAATTGTTCTGGACGGTCTCCCTGGGAAGTGACAACCCGAAAAAGCACCGAAATCGAGCGCTTCGACTGCAAGTTGCTTCGCAGGGCTTTGTATCATTTTCCTGTCCATTGCTGTATCTCATACAGAAGCCAATGCCCTTCGCACTGCGTTCCTTCAAGTTTGAAAGAAACATCATTCACAAGCATACACACACACACTCTTAAAAGAGTCCAGGAACTTTGCAGTAGGAATCTTCATGCTAAAAGCCAGCGCTCACATCGCTTGCAGCTCTCGTCTCATAATGCAAGAGTTCTAGCCTGTTTCTGCTTGAGCAAGGTCCGGTTGCAGACAAAGTTCACTCCGATCTTCACGCTGGAGAAAGGCAAAGTCTTTACTGCAGACAACCCAATCGTGTTATACGAGCGCAAGACCTTTGCCTTATGCTACAAGGAATCTCCGCTGTTCTTTCATGATCAGTGTCCTGCTGAGACAGGCTACGCTACGAGAGCCAACCGATAGGCTAGGCTTAAGTTAGTTTCTGCGAACGAAGTGAGTTTGGGGGTCCGGGACGTAGACACAACTCCGTGTGGAAAAAATCAGACTGCTGCTGCCGGCGTTTTTAGTTTTTGGCGGAGGCAACCTTTGGTGAGTTGGCGACGCACAAGATGCAAGATAAATTTGTGGTTGCATCAACTGCATTGAGGTCATTTGTGGCCCTAGAACAGAATGGCCCTAGAAGGAGCCCAGGTAGACTCGGTAGACCAAAGGGAAAGACACTTGCGCCCCTCCGGAGCTGCAGCGTCGTGCACGGAAACGAAGGTAAACAACAATCCCTGGTAGACCAAAAGCTTGGTCAGCTGCGGAGGCAATGTATCGCATAAGCTTCACACACCTTTGGGTTTCTAGTTTGGAGATGCTTATCCAATCGGGCCTTCCCGGTGTTGGAGAGTGGGCCTGGCCAAGTGGTTTTCAGTGCATATGCATGCGTGGGGTGTCAGAAGCAGAACACTTCGTTTCCTAAAGGGTGCGGGTTGTAAATGGTCCACAGCCTGTTTTTTGCACGGGTTTCACGGCCATGCTGGATTTTCACGGTCTTCACTGCTTTGGTCTTGAAGCTATCAGTTCTTTTCCACCAGATGGCGAGAGCTATGGGGTTCTTACTTCAAGTATAGGGATAGGAAGAGGTGCCTGTCGGCTGGGGGTGGTGCTGCTGCACTGCAGGGTGCCGGTGCAAGGTGCCGGCCACATGTCTGTGCCCTGTGCGCTTTGGAGCTTGGGTGCTGGTGCCAATGCAAGGTGCCGCCGCGGAGTTATTGCCAGATGTCTATGGCAGTTTGAGTTTTGGAGCCTGCATGTTGTTGTCGCTGCAGGCCGCTGCAGGGTGCCGCTGCCAGATGTTTATGGTAGTGCGGGGTTTGGGTGCTGACATCTCTTGCTATCTGGGGTCTATGCTCTCGTAATTTACTGAACTTGTTTCGCTCGATTCATGAGTTCTTCCTCTCCCATCTAGGGGGTGGTGGGGCGTAGGGTCACTGCATGTACAACTTCCTGTCAAGCCGTGGCCCATGAGACCAAGTGGGAGCTAACATTCATCAAGTGGGAACTGACATATATTGACATATACCAAGTGGGAACTGACGTTTACCACGTGGGAACTTACATTTACCAGCCGGGAATGAACATTTACCAAGTGGGAACTGATCAGATTTCGACACTTGCCCATTTAACTGGCCAAGTGATCCCCTCGCAGAAAACTAGGCATCTCTCTTGGTCTTTACTGGTTTTCGCTTCCCCGTTCTCTGGCAGATTTTACTTACAGTCTACAACAGTACCTTTGTATAGTTCGTTGAACTCTTGCAGGAGCTTGAGAAGCATGTCGTCAAAGTTGACATGTGGCGCGTCTCTTGTTGGACCTTCAATGAGTACTATGGCGTCAAGAAGCAAAAGCTCTCTCAAATTGCGAACCGCGATCCAAACATGGAACTCCGGATCCTGCGGAAGCTCTCAAGACTCTTGCCTGGACAGTATACACTGTAACTATTTCTGCCGTTTTGGTGCGCACCTTGCGAGTCCAATTCTTTTGTGTCAGCATAGGCTTGGTGAGATCACAGGGGTTAGATACTGGATGGGCAAAGCCGTCAACAAATATAACGACAAGCTCGTATATGGCCATGGGCCATGAGTCACGGCACTTTTTCTAGCAGTTTTGGGATGAACCCCAGACCTTGTTTGGTCATAGGTCGCTCCGCGAGGCCAGGATTCGACACCACAATAGAGCATTTTCAACTCAATAATAGTCCTCAGTAGTCCGCGCTAGTCACGCAGCCCACTGTTTTGGAGCCAAGCAGGCTGACTAGCTCTCAATATCAAGATGAAATTGCCCAGAGCAAAGCCGAAGATATCTTGAAACGGACAATTCAATCCTTAGAATACCTAGACTCCTAGACCAGCTGGCAGGAAGCGACATGCTTTGCAGCTTGCCGGGCCCATTGCTTCCGAAAAGTTCTTTCAAGGTCGAGAACTATATAAATAAGTCTTTAAGGTCAAGTAAGACTCATATACAAGTAAGACTCATTTGGCACCTTAGTTATTACAAAGTTGCTTTGTTTGATGAGTTGGATCCCTCGTGCAAATTCAGCACCCTATTTCAACACACCATAAATAAAGAGAGACTTCAGAACTCTACTTTGTAGGCACTTTTGTTTTTGGGTTCGCAAGCCCGTCAGCAGTTTGCAGATAGAACAACAGTCGCCCAAATGGCCTCGCCTCATGTTGCAGTGGCTTTACCCAAAGTCTTCCATTATACCCCTTCCTTGTTTATCCTCTTCAAACTGAATGTTTCTCTGATCAACCCATCCCCACTCAGTTTTGCGCAGTACGGCAGTCCATTGACTTTTCCTTGTCGCGAGCGACCCCTCAGAACTTGGAGAGTTTACCTTCTTACTCCGGTCTTGCGCCAGGTTTTCCGCTTAAGTCACTCCCTCCTTGGCCGACTTATATGCTCTCCTCTCGTTGCTGCTAATGTTTCATGCGATATACTTAATGATGCATTGTTTGCAGAGACATTTTTTCATATGGAGCCGGCTGTGGCAAAGTCTCGGGGTAGAACTTCCTGGGATGGTCACAGCTGTGGGGAGAGTGCGACTGAGATGCCCACTTAGGAAAGCAGTTGGCCGACAAGAAGAAAGCCAAGTCTGTCGCGGATGTAGCGCTCTATCGTTGCACGGTGAATCTTGAGGAAATCTTTGACTTTGATTTGTTTTGCGACTTGGCTGACTCGGCATTTGCATTCTCACCTTGCACTTGCAGTGAACACAAGAGCATGTGCAGGTGAGAATTGGACACTGGAGCTTGGCCGGGCTAGCCCGGAGTTCAAACAAATGAAGGAAGAACGGAAGCGGCTGACGTTCACCGTGCCCCGGGACCGACCGATACTGTTTCAATGTAAATGTGTAAGGATGCAGCTTGTGGGCATTGAGCAGACAACTCCATTTTTGCACGGCATGTGTACACTGTAAGCCACCTCAAGCTTACAACTTTCTGCTGCAGCTACGCGCGACCGGCAACTTGTGATGTGTACTGTGGTGTAATTTTGTGAAGTTTGAT